GGCGGGCCGGGCAGCTTGGCCATCATGCGGCGGACGCGCCTGAACTCCGACAGGGTGCCCGAATAGCGGACCAAGAGGGCGGCCACCGCAAGCACGGCGACCGCCAGCAGCAAGAGCAGGACGACGCCGATCATCTCGTGGGGCGGTGAGCAGCTGCACTGAAGCGCCCGCCGACTCGGGATATTCTGAGCGGGTCTCACTTTTTGCTTTTTAACTAGTGTTCAGGCGGCCAGGGGGCCTAGAGAGAGGACGGGGCAGGGCTTGAGACCCCCCTTTTTGCCCCCTTCCACTGTTTACCCCCACCACCTAACCTGCAAATCCGCCGGTAACCGGTGTTTGAATGAAAGTTTTAAATTTTTTTAAACATAATTTGACAAAAGTGGCATTCCAAACTAGATTTATTAAAATAAAAGTGACCCCTTGGGAAAAATTATTTTTTTTTGCCCTAAAAATAGTCCCTATTAAGATAGATTTTCCTGATTTTTTGGAGCTCTGTAGCCCAAAACGCAAGATTTCGTTCCAAAATCATGCGTTTTGGCGAGCTTAGATGAGGTACTCCCCCATAATTTTTTGACCTTCTCCGGGCTGGAATTGAAAGTTAGTTACTACATCTTTCGAATAAGAGGGGTGAAACATGTGGGACCGAACGTAGATTTCACGCTACAGGCTGACGAAAACCGAAAAATCGTCAATTTGGCTAAAAACAGTTAACTATATATTTCCCTGCGCTGCCTCCGTTGAGTCGGCTCATTCGTGGGCAGAGTCGGCCGCAACTATGTAAGGTGGCTCGAAATTTCCTAAAATTTTCGGAAAATTTCAGAATAAAATAAGAAACACTCCGTTATAAAAATGGAAATTTTCGAGGTTCTGGGAAATTTTCCCAATTTTGCCGAAAATTTTCTGTTTTTTTTTTTCAGACATTTTCAGTCTGTTGGAGGGTTATGTGTTCACTCTGCCCCTGTAGCTATCTCCTGTATGTAGCTGTCCCTGAAGAATCTCTTTAGCAGTCCCCTGTCTGCAAATGCGTCTGTCTCTAGTAACCAGACTCTGGCCGAAGCGGCCAGAGCAGACGGTCGGTCAGAGAAGGCCTTTTTGCAATGCTCTGGTCTGCACTCTGTAAATTGCTTACGCACAATTATAGGTTCGTAAAGCAAACCAAAACCCTCGCAGCTTACAAATAATTTTGAAGGTTAGAACTATTCGTAAGCTTACAAACAAATAGTTCGTAAGAAACTTCCTCGCCTTGCAAACAATCGCTTTGTAGCATACAATTTCTTTGCAATACAAAGAACAAAAATTGTTCGTAACGTTGCAAAGCATTTAGTTCGTAAGCATTTTACAGAGGGTAGCTGTCCCTCTGTACTGCCCCCTGTCTGCTACGACAGCGAGGGAAAGACTTTCCGCACGGCCTCGGGGACGGGCCTCTGGTGCTGCCGGTAGAAGGCCTCGACCCCTGCGGCGAGCGGCTCGTAGTCGTGGGGCAGCGGCCGTCCGGCGGCGAGCTCCTCGGCGAGCCGACGGCATACGGGCTCGGGGTCCTGGTCTAGGGTGTACTTCTTGGTGAGCAGCTCGTGCAGCAGGTCGGCGTCGAGCTCCTGGTGCCGCTTCTGGTACGACACCAGCTCTGCTAGTTGGAACTTAAAGACGTGGTTGACGACGAACGCCACTACGGAGTTCGGAAACATCCTGGACAACAGAACGGATATTGAGTCACCATGTGTTAAGAAATGACTCCACACCAGGGCTCTGTAACTTATCATAGCAACATATCAACACACACAAATGTTAGACAACGCAATAAAACACATGTTAAAGTAAAGCTTAAGTTATATCGACCC